TGCTTCATCTGTGTGTTTCCCTGCAGTCTACCGTCATCTGTTTCCGCCCGCTCTCATTCATGTCCAGGTTCGTGTTCTGTAGTCAGTTTGTTCCCAGTTTAGTTTAGTCTTTGCTCCGTTCGCCGTTTGTCCATTTCCTTTTTGTGTTTAATAAACCACCCTCACACCTGTACAAGTGCCTGCGTTTGGATCCTCCTTTATTTTCCACACGGCTCATCTCACTCGCCGTGACACCAACAACCAGCCTAAAGTATTAATGCAAGGCAGGATGGATCCATGTGTTTGTGCCGTTTACACCACACCCTGATCCTAACTAGAGATGGCACGATACCACTTTTTTATGTCCGATACCAATATCATAAATTTGGATATCGGCCGATACCGTGTTTTTTAATCAATAAAACTGTTTTTTTAATATCTTGCTGCATTTTGTATAAGTTCATACTCAAGTTTAAATAAACAACAACACTAAAGCTATTCTGTTATACCTGTATGTAAAAAATATACTGCACCCAAAATATTTCATAGTTCAGCAATACTGATCAATCTAATAAACTTAAACCTACTCCATCCTCCCTATTCTGGTATTTTAAAGAGTACTTAGCAGAAATATTAAGCAACCTAACTAATAGGGTTCCAACTCCCAGCAACAACAAAAAAATAGGGAACCACCCCTCACGCTCCACCTCATGGTGCTTAATTGACTTAATCAACTTTAATTTGATGCAGCGTGAAAAAAAATGCACAGAAATAAATTATTTTTCAAGAATAATTAAATAGATTCAACATCTTTCTTCAACAGAAGTGCAGACTGCACAGATGGTATCTTCCCAAAGGAAAAAGTATATAGCTATACTAGGGTATATTAGACTTAACAGTTACTATATACAGTAATGGACTTCTATATATTTTACATAAGATTAAAACTTGGGTGTAAGATTCAGATAATTATTTATTAAAAGCTCGACATTTTAAATGAGAATAAGAAAGAAAAGTCTTTGTGCCCCCTTTTCCCTGTTCATGCCCTATCGGCCCCCTTGGCTAAACTTTGCTAGATCCGCCCCTGCACAGTTACCAGCCGTCAGCAGCTAGAAAAGGATCCTGGTGTAGAAAATAATATTAAATAAATTCTAACAACAGCTTCTCAAGCTTAAGTGTGCTGTTGTTGTTTGGCCGCTGGTTTCCTCTTTCTGGTGCAAAGTGGGCCAAAAATAAAGAAGAGAGACGGACTCGCGACAGAAAAGCCGATCAGCTGATCATTAAGCAGTTTCATGATTGAAGTAGCAACAGGAGAGGGAGGGAGAGAGGCAGTAGCTCGACTCGCTCCATATATCGGTTGTTAAGCTTAACGTGGGAATGCTTTACAAACATTTAGAGATGAACTTACACACTTGCTTTACTTCTCTCTGGGATAACCTCCTCAGAGATGAAATGTTGGTGAGGCTACAAATACACACAGCCGCTCTATCACATGACACACTGCTCCAACGTGCTACGGTTATGAGCCGAGTTACGCCATGTCGCAAGTTTTGTGAGGTGCTTTTTTGATATTTAATGGATCGGATTACATTTTTTATTTCTCTCCGATATCCAATCCAGTAATTTACGTCAGTATCGGACCGATACCGATTGGTCCATCTCTAATCCTAACATCTAAATGTTGCAGCAAAAATCATGGCTCAAACCAGGCAACATTTTTGCCAGTCTTCTATTGTCCAATTTTGGTGAGCCGGTGTGAATTTTAACCTCAGTTCCCTGTTTTTAGCTGACAGGAGTGACACACCATGTGGTCTTCTGAAGCATTCCTCTTAAACCCTTGACATGCCATATAGGGATATCCCAGTGCACAAGCAGTTTCTGGAATGCTCAAACAAGCCCATCTGGCTCCAACAATCACTTCAACAGGTTACCTTGACGATGTCTGGATATCTATATGCATTTTGATGCAGCAATGTGACTGGCTGATATTTGCATAAACCACTAGTTAAATGGGAGGACCTAATGAAGTGGCCAGTGAGTGCAAGTCTTTTAAAATGACAAGTCAGAAAAGGTAACTTGCCAAAAAAGGTATGGCTGCAATTAGCTTTGTTAATTTGCTGCGAGTTATTTATCTGCAACAATACAACCAACTTTGAGAAAGAAAGAGAGCACATCACCCATTTCATTTTCAATGCAATAATGGCAGGGGAGATGACTGTAGTTAGTTTAGCACTAACAGAACTCAGCAACCCCTCATTCAGCACTCAGCCTTGTCTGCATTCACTAATAGATTTCCTATTCTTGTCTAATTAATAAGGGAAGCCTTTTCCCCCTGAAAGGCTCCCAGAGCTATATTGAGGGGTGGAGAGGTCGCTTGGAATCCATCAGATGTGATGCAGTTAATCAGCATAAAGCCTGCTTCAGTGCACTGCTAAACAACGACTGTAGGAATGGACCCAGCCTTCATAATGCACCACACCGGGACAGGGAAGTACAGAGATAATTCATAAACAGTATTGTGCACTGTCGAGTTTTTAGAGAAACTGCACTTACTTACTTTCTTTATTATCTGTTTGCAGTTTTTCTAGTCAGAATTTAAAATGACTAGCTGAGGAAAAGCAACATTGTAAGAGGGAGAGAACGCTAAAGGATTTGTGGGAGAGAATATAAAAAATTTAAAATGTGGGGGAAAAGCCCACAAAACCACTCGCATCCTACCTTTCTGAGCAACAACAATGGCAGCAGAGAGAAAATGCACAACTCGGGGAGAGAGGAATAAAGGAGACCAGAGAGCAGGACCATATACAGGACAAGAAAAAAATGCTATGATACTCCTCACACCCACATCATTCTGCAGCAAACTGGCAAGTCAGTAATAAAAGCTGACTCAGTCTCCTTCTGCAGTGCACATTTTACTTCATATTTCCACGCATTTGATTAAAGTACAAAAAAAATATCTGTTCCTGACACAGTGGGGAGCAGAGATGGTCATAAAGACAACAGATGAGTCAGGGAGGGCACTTCCTATTGATGTTGAGCATCTGACGAGCTAGACAGAAGTGCCAGATTGT